TGAGGATTTCTGTGCCTTCTGTTTCTCTAGACTATCAGTCTTTGTTTACAGCTGTCTGTACTGAAGCGTGGGGCAGTACCTACAAAAGGCGGAGCAAGATTCTCTCCTGTCTGAGTGAAGAAGCCCACTCTGTAACTGGATGCTGGTCTCTCACTTTCCCCTTCTTCCCGTGTTTATGCCTTCCTGGCCATCATAGCCACAAGGAAGCAAGGCAGGTTTTCTTCGAACGGTAACAACGGATTCAGCCCTTCATTTAAACAAATGGGGTGTTATTTGGCTCAGTCCCATGCAGATAATTAGAAGGTCTTCTATAGCCAAAACCTGGCTTGTATTTTTGCAGTTAAGTGTCAGACAAGGCACTAAGCCTCTGAATAAGCAGTTAATTTATTTACATTCTGCCTTGACTTCTCCCCATTTCTCATACAAAGGCACTGTGTTTGTTTCGTGCATCCTGTCCCTCAGCCCATGCTGCTATCCACAGAGGCTGTTTTCTCTTTTCCCTAAATCACCATCCCCTTGAAGATCTTAAATTCAAGGTGGAAGGAGAGTGAGAGCCAACTTCTACTCTCAGGGTTAAATCTGGGAATCATTCCCCTGGCTTCAAATTTATGCTGGTGCAATGAAGATGAGAATTTAGCTTTCTGTACTCTTGTCAACAGGGGAAAAAGAGAGTCCCTGTAAGACTGTATCCATGGAAACCACCCTACTGCAATAGCGAGTAAAGCAGCAAATCAATTTCTTCAGTTTTAAAATGAAGCACATTTAACAACAGCAGAGTGCATCTGCTATTTAAGAGATCATCTGTGCTGATAGCTGTGTTGAAAAATCCTTCTCTAGCAAATAAGCTGGCAAGAACATTTCTTCCTCCTGAAGGAGTTCTGACTTTGGGTAAACACTGGTGACCAAGTCCCACGAAGACAGTACAGCAAGGCAGAGCCAAGTCCAGAAGCAACAGTGTTTAATGAAGGAGAAAATTGTTTAATTTAGCATTTAGCCCAAGTATCTGGGCACATGGTGACTTAACACTCAAATGTATTAGCAGAGGCAGTGGCCTGTCACCTCTGCCTCCCTCCTCTTTGCGTCTGTGATACCGTACATGACAAACAGGACATTTGTACTTGGTGATGCATTTCTCTGAACAGGAGCGTGTGCGTGTGCACTTGTGTGTGTGTGTGGCTGCCGGACTGTCGGATGAGATTTCAGTATCTGGCTCAGTGGGAGATGATCCAGGCAAGTCGCATTACAGAGGTGTGTGTTTCAGAGCCAGAGGCATTTGCAATGCAGAAAATGTGCTGGCTGTCTGCACTTTATTGTTTTTACATCTCATCATACGAGGCTTGAGGGAGGATCTCTTTGCTGTGCCATGGAGGGAGCATGGAAATACATGGATTTCTTACCCCGGGCTTTGAATGTGTTACCATGCTCTTCCCCTGCTGCATGCAGAAGGATTCTGTGTTTTTTCAGACTCTCTGGCCATTTTGAGAAATAATACCATAGTTTATCAGACAGTTGCCTATATGCAGATGAGGCTCCATTCTGCTTTGCTTTTTTACCAAATCCAAATACTACAGTCTGCTTGGCAGATGAAGGAATATCTGTCTGGGAGAAATGCAGCCTTATTCAAGACAGAGGGGATAAAGTTGAACTAGGAGGGAATAAAAAGCATTATAGAAATTGCCTAGACTGCGAGTAGCCCTTCGGTTGATGAGGATCAGATGGACATTCCTCTGTCACTTTGCAGTGTCTAGGCTGTATTTTATCTGGTTCTGAATCTCAGTTCCTCGATAACAGCAATCACATATGCCATGCTGTCTCCTTTTAGCTACAGCTGTCCTATCTGTTATGGCAATCCCTCTTTGACTGACAGTTATCTATTTTTCTCTGACCTGAGGGCAGGCTTATTGCAATGCTCTCCTTTTGCTGCTAGCACGGAAATGCATCCAGAAGCTTCAACTGGTGCATAATGTGGCAGTTCAGCATTTGAATGAAGTGAGCACATATTGTGGAGAGCACACGGGGTTTTTGTTGCTCTGCCAGGCCTACCAGTTAGCAGAAGACACTTTTCAAACCACATTACATAGTAGAAATGGCTCGTTGGCCTCAAATGCTGTTGTTTGCGGAAAGCGCTTTGCTCTACCTGCATGCAGTTGCTGTGACATGCAGTCTTGTGTGTCTGTTGGCCAGTTCCAGAGACATCCCAACTCACTGCTCTAGCACAGTGCTCCCTTGCTGCAGATGA